GGTGCTCAGGGCTTCATGGGCTGCCTCTCTGCAGTGCAGCTTAGCCACGTGGCCCCTTTGAAGGCTGCTCTGCACCCCAGCCACCCAGCCCCCATCACTATTAAGGGACACGTGACTGAGTCCAGCTGTGTGGCCCAGACTGGCACCAATGCCACATCAAGAGAAAGGACTCACTCGTTTGCAGGTGGCTTATAGCTCTTCTTTTATCTAGTCACAAACACAACTTGTCCATTGGCTGTTCAGAACTCTTAATATTGCTGCTATGCTACGTTCCTTAGATGGATTCTTAAATTTGGTTTTGTTTGTTTAACTTTCAGTTCTTTCTCACTTCTTTCCTAGAGTCTCAATTTCCTAAACATGTGGGCCATTGCAGCTGACATTGCTTATGTTTAGAGCTATAGGGATCCCCACAGTTACCTCTGTAATTCTGTTCTGGTTTAAAGCGTTTATGAATTTCTCAAGTTTCTCGTTTTTACTTGCCTATATCATCTACCCCCTTTTTTTGTCCCTTTACTGCAGATCATTCTGGAACAACAGATGACAGAGAACCCATAGCTAATGCAATCAGAAGTGACTCTGCAGTAATTGGAGGTAATAGGAAGCATGAGTGAGCTCTTCTTTGGTACCTCTTATCATTACTATCAATGGTGAATATTTATGAACATTTATGAAGAATCTGCATATTTTACAAGTGTCATGCACTGAATAGTGAAGAGAATGGAGTGCTTTACTATTTGTAGAGATTGTCTTATAGAATCTCACTGAATTCCCAGCTTATTTGGAGATTTTTCAGTTTACGATTTCACTGAAGCTCTGCATTCAAAGAATAGTTGCTAAACTGTATAATAATGAATATTATTTAGCTTGGAAATATCCATCTAGAATACCTAGAGCATTCTGAATATGTTTAAGGAAATACCATGTTTCCTAGCTTCTTGGACATACCGATGCTTCTGCAAGTGTTTGTGTAAAGAGCAGGGAAAACCTAAGATTTATGTTAGAAGCATACACTTTATTTTGCGTTAATGCTTAATAAAATGGATAGCTGCATGGTTTCAATTTCCCATCAATGAATATTATACTTAAAGTTGCATTTTTATCAAGTGTTAGGATAATGGACTAAAAGAAGTTCATAGTTATTTTAAATTGCAAAATTAAAACAAAAACTTTTAAAGTATATTTTCTAAGCAATAAAAACAGTATGTTCCCCAAGACATAATTTATCCAAAGCCATCTCCAAAAATATGCTTATTCCTTCCCTACTAATGATGCTAAGATTGTTTTTAATCAGATTATTGAAATGTTTATTCATTCGCATTTTCTCTACACTCGTCATTTGGTATGGACATACAAAAATAAACAATTATTATATTAGATAGGCACCAAAAATAATATGACTACTCAAATACTCAGGCAATTATATGGGCTTTGTACCTGATCCATCTGATTCTACTGTTTACAGCCTTACTCATTTAGACATCGACTGCCTTCCAGTAGTTAGGAATCTATTTAGACATTAGAGAGTAGAACTGATCGAATCATTGTGAAGATATTAACACCCCCATTGCTACTTCTGTTCCTTTTCTTTTTTATCAAATTAATGCTGTATAAATTAAAGATACATAAAATAGGAACCTGATTTTATCACCTAACAACAACAACAAAAAACGTGTTATAAGAGAAGTTAATAAATACATGTCCAAAAGAAATACATTATACAGAAAAAACGCTTTGGAAACTATAGTACTTAAAATGTGCTCAACATTTTAAACTAGGGCTCCTGTCTAACAAATTGTCCAAGTGTCAAAATGGTGCTCTTTCAGAACATTCAACCAGTATAGATAGACACAGATATCAATATAGAGTGATTGTCTAGTCCAGTTAGTGTTGCAACAGAAGATTCTTTTTAGAATATTGCTGCTTTAGGCAAAGATCATTGGCAAGATTTACAG